TTTAATTCTAAATTTGAAAACTAGGTCGACATGTTTTTCCAAGCTAAAAAGCGGGTCGACCAATCAAGCTAGTGGTCGACCCTCTTAAATTCCAAAATTAAATCATCGGGTCAAGCAATCCAGGTAGTTGTCGACCTTCCGCCTTTTGTATCACCAAGATGTTATCCCGACTTTCAAGATGCACTCTCCACCATAGGTCCACCCTTGTGTTTTTTCTTAATTCATGGTTCACATCTCAAAGCTCGATACTCTTATGCGATGGGAGTTTAGGGTCGAGCAATTCGACCCATTGAGCTTAGGGTCGAGCAGTTCGGTCCTTCAGGACCCTTTGAGTTTCTAATCGACCCGCGTGGTTTTGAAAACCATAGAATTCGATATATATAGTCTTTACCTATACAGTCTCCTCTCTAAAGTTATAAGTTCTCGAATACCTATCGACCGTGTGTGATTCGATCAATATTCGGTCCAATGGGTCGACCCTACACTATGAGCCGGTCGACCCCCATGGCGTTTGGCCTTAAGTTCGACTAGCAGCCGGTCACTAACAGGTCGAAGGCCTCACATGTGCTCGACCAAGTAGCCGGTCGAGACCACTTCGACCCGTCACTAACGGGTCGAAGCCCTCACATGGCCCGGGCGTGTAGCCTGTTAATCACATAGTCTTCACATGGCTCGAACATGCAGCTGGTGGACTACATAGCAGGTCGATCACGTAGCCTTCACACGGCTCGATCATGTAGCCGGTCGACCACATAGCCGGTTGACCCATGAGCGCCGGGATCAAGGGTCGATCCCCTCTCTGGTCGAGGCCTTCCGGTCGAGCCACTTTGGGTCGAGCCCTATCTCTCGATCGAGGCCTCCCGGTCGAGTGTAGGCCGAGTCGCGTTAGGCCGAATCGGTACTAATATCCCTATCAGATATGATGAACAAGCTTGGCCAGACGATATGATGGACACATTTGGACAGACGATATGATAACACTTACCAAATAACAAAAATAAGTACCATATGGATTACCTGTCGGTAAACCAACTGCTACCAACATATTTAATGAATCATCAACAACCGACTCATCAAAATCATAGTTAAAGATAGGTCATATCAATATTTCTAGTTGAAAATAAATTATTCCACTCCTCTTAGTACTTCGTATATATATATATGGGAAGTGCAAAAGATAATAGAAAACTTGGTTGAAAAGCAAGTGTTAGTAAGAAGAAAGTTCAAAGGTTATAACAAGTATTGAAGAGTAAATGAAAGATCAATATGTCACTTTAGAAATCCGTATTGACATCCTAAAATGAATTATAACTGTAGAGGACAAACTATGTTCTTGAGGATAACGAAAAGTAGCTTTAGTAATTGTACTCTTTTGACATCGATAGGGAAATACTAGTGAAGTTCGATAACCGATGACAGAGGTGTTGACATCTGTGAATCTCGTTATATACAAATCACGCAATAGCAAATGTAAACTTATGCGCAACATATCTAAAAGTTTGACCTACAAAACTTACGACTTAAAATTTTCTGAATCTGACGAATTTGGGATGACCGGGAACAACACATCACGGGGTGGCCGGGAACGAGCAGACGATGGCGGGTCGCGGCGTCACGGTGGTGTTGCAGTGGTGACGACGAATCGCGTCGGGTGGTCGAGGCGTTGACGTCGCGGGCTTGCATCGTCGGGCTCGGCTCCTCGTCGCGGGTAGCGTCGTCGGCTGCTCGTGGCTCGCGGCGGCGGTCTGGCGGGTCACGGCGGTCGACAGTGGTCGGCTCCGGGATATGATCACGATGTCTCGATTACCTAAGGATCTTCTACTGTATTACTCTCTCACACCTCTTCAACTTGTACCGTTGGAGAGAAGAAGATAAAATTCGAGCAGAAATCTAGAGAGAGAGGGCGTGCGTGTATATATCTGCACGTAGGAGAATTCTGATCTCTTCTTCTCTTTTATGAGCTTAATGAAGTATATATAGAACTACTGTATAGATCCTTAGGAGAACAAGAATATGGCTTCTTAAGTAATTGACTAACTGTGGGTCAAGCCCACTCTTCCAATTACTTAATTAATATTACAGCCCACTAATATTATTGCACTCCATTTTCCTATCTCAAATTATATTTGAGACTACAATAATAATTACATGAATTACCTTCTCATGTTTACGATATAATATCCATTAATTAATTCGATTACTGATAATCAAGTATTAATTAGTATATTATATTACCAAAGCTAGTGTTCGTTCATTGCATTATTATTATGCTGGAATTTAATCCACCTGCAGGGTTTAGTATAACAATCCTTCATGAACTCACTTCGGGGACATCGTCAAACTAACGCACATGATAACTGTAAATATCCTAACAGCACATCATACATGCATCAATATTACCCAAGAAAGTAAGACTATTGATCCAGCGAACTGAATCTCACCCAAGTGAATCAAAGTAACAAGTATTGCATGTATATGTCTGTTTAATATCTTGCGGGTTAAGAGAACGCAGTAATTGACTGAGACCTAGTTTGTTTACAATGATCAGTATAAAAGAAACTTCTCCTCTCTAGGATCCGTTCAATACATGATTGTACTAGTGTAACTAATCAGTCAAGATAAAGATAATGATCTGGGCATGTTGATAGGGGGCATTCATTCTACTATCAAAGGCATTCCATTTTGAGTATTATTTTGATTTATCAATTGCAATTTATCAGCTTAAACGGGCATTCATTCTACTATCAAAGGCATTCCATTTTGAGTATTATTTTGATTTATCAATTGCAATTTATCAGCTTAAACCTCTTCCCTGATTCGCGATTACGTAAGTAAGTCGGTGAATGCTTTCTTTTGGAGCAGGAGAACGTAATAGGCATCCATTACCATTAGCTCTGTGACAAAGCACGACATCTATGAAAGCAGTGGGCGAACGGAGTAAACTACTGCTGCTCAGGAAAAAGTGTTGCATCTCCCCCAACCCCTACAAAGCCTACCGTTGTCATTACCACTGTTCCGATTGAGTGTTCATTTTCATCTAGGTTGTGAACCAATAATTTTTGTTTCGCAAGTAACTGATAAAATGATCTTATGTCCATCTGTGATGAACCATTTTATCTAAGTGCAAAACAACAAAACATAGAACTTGTTTAATCGAACATTACTCCCATTTTCCTCTCTTCAATCTGGGTCGAGGTAACTAATTCTTGATGTAAAAACAATCACTATTTCTGCAGCCTCGAGGTAACTAATTCTTGATGTAAAAACAATCACTATTTCTGCAGCCAACTAATGATCTATTTTCACACATTAAGCATTGGCTTCTTTGATATGTGCATCGACAACCATCGATTTTATAACTATCGCATCATACAATTACATAGTTAAAATTGTCAAATCCATGCTTATCAATGTAGTTTAACATTAAGATAAATCCATGTTTATCAATGTAGTTTAATATTAAAATGCCACTAAAAATACTGCATAAGCACGGGAAGTGAGGTTAATTAATCAAAATCTTTTCTTCTCTAGCCTTGCCTCAATGGTAAAGAAAACGAGAGGAAATGGACGAGGAAACCGAACAGAAATCCTGAACCAATTCTCAGTATGAAAAAGCCATATGAGATTGAAGTTAATATTCTCCTAACAAAGAGATGCAATCAATCCTTTATTAGGACATAAATCTTCTAATAACATAAATGCAGCAGAAAGGAAAACTAGGTATAGAAAACCAATGCACAGAGTTGTCGAGAACCTTAAATAAAAATTGGAACCTATACTGAGAAAAGTATGATTCAGTGCTTCGGGAAATCAACCACCACCTCCTTGTAACATATCGGACAAGCCTGTTTTATGTTAAGATTGTCAGCAAAGTAATTATATGTTCGAGAGTTCTCAAATACGAAAAAGTTTAACGACTTACTTTATTGATATTAAGCCATTTTCTCCCACAACTGGTGTGGTAGAGATGTTTACACGGGAGAGTCATACGCTTGTCGCCTCTTTTGTACTCCATTTGGCAAATCACGCACCTTTCCAATCCCAACCAAAGAAATAATATAAATCATGATTAAAAACTGGAAATTGAACTGTAAGTGCAAAACGTTTGCAAATAGTAAAATCTGGGGAATACCAGCATATTATTCAAACATATTATTCAAAATAAAATCTACTTAACCTGAAGGGAAAGGTAGCTTCCAGATTTTAAAGCTAGAATTACCTCTCTCCTCTCATTTTTTTTCTAGAGAAAAATCCACATTTGAATTTTGATGTTGGAAGCAATGCGATTTGATCTTGAGATAGACCCCTACTTTGAGTTCCAACTGCCTCGCCCAGCTCAAGTAACTCCTGTAAATTCGACCGAATTACTACATATCATTACACAACAATCACTCAACAAACCCATAACCCCCAGTTAATTAGCTAGTTGTATCAGGATTAGTAACATTTTGTTAAAGATAAACAAATATATAGCATTTACACCTGAATCAGTTAAATGAGTTTATAGTAAAATATAGACGAAGGAGAAAGAGCCAATTCACATATTCAATCAAGTGCCAAAAATCATAATGATGAAAACACACAACAAGGGCCGGGCATCAACCAACAGTCAGCAGTCCCTAAATTCTTGGTCTTCTTTGCTTTTCAAGCTTCAGAAGCGTCATATAAGAGAGCATTATCAGTCTGTGACTTCACTTTCCTCTTGTTTCCGAGGCATGTTAGTAGAGTTTTGTTATTTTTTTCATACATTAACTGCCCAGGGCATGTCTGAATCCTACAGCACCTCAATCAAGAGGTATTGACCAGAATAGTATATGGCGAACATGATGCGGAGAGTATAACGAAACGAAAGGTATGAGGGAAAAACAAAAGCCTCCAGCTATATCTAATTTTGAAAACTCTGAACCTTAACTAAACCAAATAGGTATGGACATTGCTGATTCCTTGAACCGTCCACAAAGCAGTAATACCTGATAGGGAAGCATATTTTGATTGGTTGATCCCAGCACAAGAAATCTGAACTCATCAAACTTTAAATGTCTCTTCACAATCCTATCATAAAAATAGCGATACTAATACTACAGAAGAGTGCATGCTGATGCAGCGGATATATGGCCTCAATCGACGGAGTAAACATCTTGGATTTATACCTACTGAACTTCATGATATGGCTATTAAGGTTAAAATCAACTGAAGAAATTTGGTAACTCATGTCTAAAGTGTCGTGGTCCGTACCATGAGTCCAGGGAAAAAGCTACATACATTATGAATACTTGGGGAAGTTGGGATGTTATTACATCTTATGAGGAAGACTAGCACCCACATATATGAAACTTTATATATCTAATAGTACGCTCAGCAGTTTTCTACCAGTGAACTTGTACATAAGATCCTCTAACCAATATTGATATAGTTTTTTATTTATTTATTTATTTATTTTTTATATCTGTATTTAGGTTGACAAAGAATGTTTAACAGATAAGATTATAATATAAGATTAAATTTCCAAAACCTCATATGTCATGTTGTCAGGGTCAATGTTGTCTTGCCAAGCCACCTGCAATGGTCATAAGGCAAATAACCCAAGAAACCTCAAAATTGGAAAGGGAATGAACATAAACCTGGAAAACTCTAGGCAAAAAAGGATATTATAATACCTCACTGCCACGAGCATCTTGGTGATTCCGAGGACCTACATTGCAGATAAGAAAAGAATCGAAATATTCAAGATGATTAAAATGCAGTGTATATCTGCAAATGGCAGCACCATACTAGAAAAAAGATTAGGAAAACAAACAACACCAGTACTTTCCAAATCATCTTTAGTCTATTGCACTAATGACCATTTGTCTCGATACACTAATATATGAAATAGCATAGATCAAACACATGTAGAACCAACTAAAGAGTCTCACCTATTCTGCTACTTGAACGTCATACCATACATCTAAAAAGTAAGATCATATTGACGAAGTTGAAGCATGAAAAAGTGGTAAACCATTCAGATAGTAACCACTGCAAAGACGCAATAAATAGAATTATATACATAAACAATCTTACACTCTACTGGACGAGCATGAGCACTGGTAATCGAATTTCGTTCCTGGTGTATATGCGAAACAGTGCCCCGATCATCATCCACCAGTGAGAGATTCTCCAAATGCCCGCTATATTCATTATCAACCACGTAGTCATTCCCATACTCATAGTATGAGAAACTTTCAGGTTCAGATACTGCAAATTTATATAAACTTGTATTTGTTGCTGGATAGGCACTGTAAGCATTCCCCTGCACATATACTCACGTTGTTAATCCACGAGCAACTTATTTTTGACAAAAAACCTAATGTTTCCAAGTGCCAATTTAGAATAGATGGGTGAAAATGTTACTTATTGCATCTTTAATAAAAGACAACCCTATTGCGCACACGATTACATCAGCTACATATCTATCACAGGTGCTCAAAAAAATTTTTAACAGAACTGGCTGATCAAACTCAAATGTCGAGGGATTCAAATAATGTTTGGTTACAGATCCATCAGACCAGAACAGCTCATCCCATAAACTAAAATGCAACGTAGAAGGAACCCAGTCAAGTCCCCAAACATGAAGTATTAGTTTATTAGTTTGTTCCCTCCACTCACAAGCCACCTTCAACATCAATGGGCGCAGTCAAACCACAAGCTAGATTGGTGAAAGTTGAGCAAACGTATTTTCCGAAATTTGCAAAATTAATATTCCCCTATAAGCAAAGCCAGAAAAGAAAGCTGAAATACACATATTTTGTGAAGGAAGCCAACCGAAATTTCGACCACTACCTCAACGTAATTTGCTTCAGCAAAAATGTAATTCATGTGGTCGTAAGTAAGTCCTCCGAAAAAATCCACAAAGCTTCCAATTGAGTTATAAGGCATGGAATGGTTTTGGTATTGAACTTCCATTTGTGGATTCCAGCTCATTTTGGAAAATATACCTGGCAACATCATAGATAATATGCATTATATTACCATTAATTAACTAGTTACTGTATCCAAAGTTTCAATAAAACAAAGTAATTTCACTCGCCAGTACTTTGCAAAATTTTGAGCCAAGAAAATACTAAATTGCCAAAATCCAGCACTCCCCTTCACCTACAATGAATGAATCGTTTGTTCAGGCGTCGTGCAAGGTGGAAAACATATGCATAATTACAGAAGAAACAGAATATCATATCCAAACCTCATCGACAAGTAACTCACAGTCGATTAAAGATGATTCATTACCAGATAAGGTGATTATCAAACACTTAAAACCCCAGTAAATTACGAAACCACACAAAGAGAAACACTTATATATGATGAACAAGAGAAACATCAAAACAATTTCAAAGACAGACATTCACTCCATTCAAAAGAATCCTTCTAGCATTGTTCATATTCAAAAATAAACACAAACACAAACAAAGATAGAACACAACATGCAATTCGAAAATCGAACAGATCGCAAGCAAATTGAACAATGGTAAAAAAAAAACAGATATCACAATCAATAACCGCCATTGATACGAATGCATCAAGCTCAAGCGACGGAAAATTACAGCAACCACGCTCGATTCATGTCGATCAATCGAATAATCCACAAAGAAAAAGGGGCAAAACTGAATAATCAAAGCAATAATCGTGATATAAAGAACCGACATTGATCGCTGTGTGTCTCGAACGCGAGCCTTGTACTGATCGATCAAACAGAGAACCTCTCCTTCTTCATCTCTTTTTCTCTCTCTGTAAAAGTGTCAAAGGGCTCATGATAACGAGACAAGAGAGCATTATGTGTTCCCCTTTTGTCTCTTTCCCCTTTTGTAATGCACTCAAGATTGTGACAGTAATTAATGATTAAAGATAATAAGAAGGTACAACTTCTGCTGCGTGGGGAACAATTGCTGCTTGGAGGCTATATAAATGGAGACATCACCATTTAACAATGTCCACTTCTTTTCATATTAAAATATCTCACAATTAAGGAAAAATAAAATATGTATGATACTTTATAACAAACTAGTGTGTGGCCCGCGCGATGCACGGAAAAATAATATTACGATTGTATTATAAATTAAATATACAAATAAATTAATTAATATTCACCCATCGTTTTTAAATTAAACCGTGTTGGACACAGTCCGACCGGATGAACCGAAAACAGGTTTATAATCAGTCTAGTTCACTTGAATAAAATATTTGCTATTGAATCAACACCAATCGGTTGAACTTGTTGGATCGATACGATTTTCTAAATAAATTTGGTAATATTTAAAATTATTTTAAATAAAATTAGATATTTAAATAAAATAGAGATTTATAAATTGTTTATCAATTAATTTAAACATTTAAATTTTAAATTGTTTAGCTATTTAAGTAACAAATTTTATTCAAATTTATTACAAAAACTATTATATATATATATATATATATATTAAAACGTAGTTTAAAAAAAATTGCATGATTTTTATAAATTAAATTGTATGATTAAATCGTATGATTATATTAAAGCGTATTTATAAATTAAATTGTATGTTTTTAAAAGAAAAATTTAAGAAAATAATAAAACTACTATTTATGGGTATCATTAAATGCTGACCTATTTTTTTCTAATAATTTTAGTAAATATGATGGCTCTTTATATAAGTATAGATTACATACTAGTAGAATACGGGTGGTTGATAAAATAATTAAATGTACAACAAAAAAATGAAAAAAAAAAATTGTTTATATATTTTGTTGAAGTTGGAAAAAAAATAAATAAGGAACAATATATAAGAATTTATAATAAAGAACTACGTGAATTAGCATTATTATTTAAAACTTCGAAAACTCATTTATATACATTATTAATTTTATTTATAATATTTTAATTTAAAACACGTAAGTGAATAATGTAGAAAAATACAAAATCTGGAAAGTAAGATTAATTGCACATTATAGAAAGAAAATAAATAGATTTATATAGAATAGTTTAAATATATTAAATATGCGTATATATATATGGCAATCCAAACCTAAGTTAATTGTTATAAAAATTAGCAATTTTTATCCGAGCAATATTACAATTCATAATATTTTGTCACATAAGACTACGAAGCGTGCGAAGCGGCCACTTAAGCTCAACGCATTCTGAAATTATATATAAGGGTGATTTTTATTTAAGATATTTTATTGTGTTGTAACTCATAAGAGCATCATTTGTGTTGTCAAAAAATTGAAGTTCTAATTGTATCATCTTAAGCCCTTTCCTTCTTTATGTAATCTTGATTATGATATTCCAAGTGAGATTTATGAAGTTATTATATATGATCATATCCATAATCCATCCCTAGATAATATGTTTACCTTTGCATGAAAAAAAAAATGAAGTTGAATTTGAGTTGAATTTAATGAAGAATTATTCATGGAAAATTAGAAGTTGCCAAACCACAAGTCACCCTCAAAAAATCATATGTCCAAAGATGTACACAATGAAAACAACAAGCAAAGTAGGGCCTAAAAAAGCAATTGGTTCCTTCCTTCACTTTTTCTTTCCTTTTCTTCTTTCTTGTTTTGTTGTTAATTTCTCTTTTTCCTTAAAAAAAAAGAAAAATATATATATATATATACAGTATTTACCATTCATGATTACTAAGGACAATAATGTTCACCTATCCACGGTGGGCACATGTTAATATGTCCACCGCTTATGTGGCATGCATGCATTGGTGATGTTAATATGTTCAGAAAAAATACATCACTAATGTGTGTATGCCACATAAGCGGTGGACATATTAAAATGTGGTCATCGTGAGTAGGGGAACATTACTCTTGTTAAGAATAACACTAGAGATGTTAAACGGTCTAGCCCTGGCGGTTTCGGGTTAGCCCTAACGGACTTCGGGCTAAACGGGCTATAATAATAATATATAAATAAACATATAAATAAAAATTACAATGGCTAATTCACGATTGTTTTCAACGGCTATTTAGTATTTACCGCTCTATATATATAACTACATTTCATGTATGAACACTCATTACAAACTCTTAAGTGACATGTTTTTACCAAAAGAAAAAAAAATGTTCGAACTATTACTTATAATTATCATTTTACTACTTATTTTTGTACGCTTTGGAAATTTTCACGATATTGTATCTTACTGTTGAATTTATATTCTATCACTATGTTTTATGTTTTAGTTCTTTGTCTCATGTATTTTTCATTAGCCGTTCTAATTGACTTAAATAATTTGGTGTGAAGTAGAATAACGAAATAGTTAATAATTATCTTTCAAAATCATAATAACCCGTTACAGTTCATAGTTACATATAAAGTAGAATAGTGAAGTTGTAATATACAAATTAAACGGGCTAGCCCTAGCGGGCTTCGGGCTAGCCCTATTGGGCTTCGGTTTAAACGGTCCGGGCCTAAAAAGCCCTGATTTAAACGAGCTACTAAAAAAGGTCCTAACCCTGTTTTTTTTTCGTGCTAAACGGGTCGGCCCGTCAGGCGAAGGACCGTTTAACATCTCTAGTAACACAACCTTATACTTTTAGGTACTTTGTTTAATCATTTTCAACTTTATAGTAATCATATCCGTATAATTTCACTAAGCACAATTTTTCCTTTTAGTTTTAAGATGTACAATTAAGTAATTAACTCTTAATGATTTTAAGGACATAAACATTTATCTCACTTACTTGCGTGTTCTTTTAAAAATTAATTGGCACGATCAAGCTCAATAATCAATAATATTTCCTTCTAATTTGAAAGTTCAAATTTTATGTAATAAATATTAATGATAAGAGATTATAGTATTACGACTTTATAAAACATAAAATTTATTTAAAAATATTCTGTTTGTCTTACTTTTATAAATATTTTTTAGGAAAGTTAGTATACACAGAGACCTTATAATTTATAAAATTAACTATTCAAAATTGTTCAAACATGGAGAGGCAAATGTGAGAGACGAGTTTAGAAAAGCTCAACATACCAATTGTATACTTGAAAATGAAAAGCTTCAAATTGACCTGGCCACGGGTCGCCCGGCATGTGAATCGACCCGTGAACTTGCCTGGAAGCGGCCCAAAACCCCTTAAGGACCAGTTACGCGTCATGTTGTAACCCTTTTTTACCTGCCGGGCCGGGCCAAATCTGAGTTTACCAACGGGTCACAGTTATAATTTTATTCTTTCTTATTTTTATTTTTTTTTAAATCGACTGTTCAATGAACCGGTCCTTAGATATAGTCAAGCCGATTGCGGGCCCAGCATTTGAGGCCTGCTAACCCGGCAAGCCGGTTCGGGCCGTGAACCGGCCTGGACTTTGGCCACGTCTAGCTTGAAAGCTCTCCAAACAAGAAGCTTGTAGGGAGCCGTAGCCACCGGTCAATATGGGCCCGGGTCCATGACCATCTAATTGCCTGAGCGAAAAGTGAAAGAAGGGCCTGCTGGGCCCACTTCCATTTTGGTTAAAAAAAGGGATGGTCCGGTTTCTTGTACTTTACTTCTTCCATGTCTCTCGTCTTCTGTGCTGTACACATTGAAAAAAGCAATAAGGTGGCGTATTGTTGCAGACTTCAGCTGTTTAAAAATTTTTACAGTTGAAAAAAAAAAAAATGGATATGCACATGTCTTGAGAAGGAAATAAAGACATGTAATCTTGATTATTACTTTGATAAAGATAGTACTTAGTTGGTAATAGAATTTTAAGTGTATATTAAAATAATATTTAAAATAAAATAATTAAAATTGATTTAATGTAATTGTAGGAGAGATGTGATGAAGTGATTGATTAGTTGAAATCATGTAAGTTGTATGAACAGTGAAAAAGTTGACGTGGAGTTATGATTAGTTGAAATCATGTAAGTTGTATGAACTGTAAAAAAATTAACGTGATTGATTGATATTAT